TATATATATATATATATATATATATTTTTTTTTTTTTAGCAGATTCTTACTTATTAAGGGATGAGAGGCTTAAGGGCCACTATGTTCTTCCCAAATAGTGGTTTCGTGCTTTATTATTGATCACTTTTGAGGTCACAGAACACTTTTAAATCCTTCTTCACGATGAAAAGCACAGCCCAAGTTTATGAAAAAAGCACAAAATATTTCACAGGAACTTCAGGCAGCCTACAACATAATGGATAGCATTAACACAGTTTATAATAAAACTGTCGACGACAAAGCAGAACAGACACCCTCGAAGGGGGCAGAAGTCCTTAATGTTAGGAATTATCCAAGATATATTATTATGATTTGAGACCTGGAATTGGAAAATTGCTGGGTGTTTTCCAGGGATGGGATGGGTAAATCTTAGAAAAATTTTAAAATAGTTCAATTGTTATTTCTGTCACAAGAAAATTCTTACACTTCCAAATAGAGTCAAATATCTTAAAGCTTCTATAAAAGAGGTGAACTTATGGAAGCTAAAAGTAAAGTGGGTCCTAATGTTTTTCACTCTTTTCAGTTATTTGTTTGTTATTTCTGGTCATACAAGGGGACTCAACTGGTAAAAATGAAGATGTAGTGTTATTTCAGTTTTTTAAATTCCAGTTTTGCCTATTTATGTTCTTGAGGTTTGGCTTTACTGCTGCTAATTATCAGGTCCACAGTCTTGAATAGTCTACATGCCTTGTCTGGCCCTTTGTTGCTCTCACTGTGATGCGAGCAGTGTCTGCCTACTTCTTAGCAGAGCTCTGCCACACACATGCCTGGGCCTATCCTGAGAAACTAGGTATTCACTGCTGAGCACACCGCCTCTGCCCAGGTATCTGCCCAGGAAATAACACTAACGCTGAGTGATCTAGAGAGTCAGAGATTGCTTTCAACTTCCCTGTCGCAGATGGAAAGTGCCCTAACCTCCACCCAAAGGAGCCTGGTTAAAGTTTCCAGAGGAGCGCTGAAGAAGACTGTCATGTGACCTAACGAATAGCCATAAATCTTCACTATATCAACAAGGTCCCTGTCATATTTTTCTTTATCTTTCTTTTTCTTTTTTTTTAATATATCTTTATTGATTTCAGAGAGAAGAAGGGAGAGGGAGAGAGAGAAACCTCAATGATGAGAGAGTCATTGATCGGCTGCCTCCTGCACACCCCCCGAACTGGGGATCTGGCCCACAGCCCGGGCATGTGCCCTGACCGGGAATTGAACTGCGATCTCCTGGATCCTAGATTGATGCTCAACCCCTGAGCCTGGGCTCTGTTATATTTTTCAATCTGTGTCTGTCAACTTTGTTACCTGGCTTCTTTCCAAAAGATGACTCATTTCCATGGAAAACTGTTAGAACTAATGGGGTAAAGAAAACATGGTGCTCTGTGGCTGAACTTATTGGGTGGGCACCTCATCAAAGTGGGTGGGTGCCACAAGGCTGGTGCACCCTGCTGTGCTGGGCAGAGATGACAACACCGCAGCAGCTCTCCTACTCTGTATTTGTATGGCGCTGTCCAGTTTACAATACACTTTAAAAAATGTGTTGAGATATAATTTGTGTACCTTAAAATTCACTTTTGAAGAGTAACAATTCAGTGATTTTCAGCATACAAACACTTTTATACCCTCAAAGGACCATTCTAGATTAAGATGAGAGCTTTGGCTTTTATGTGTATCTGCTATGTGTTTACCAGTTCTTTTCTCTACTTTGAATTTCTATTCCATGGTTCCCATACAAGTTCCGTCTTAAGAAATTTGTAATCAGTCTCAAAGATCTCATATGGCACCTCTTCCATTTTATTTTGAAATGTTTGACAAGTCAAATGGAGCAAAACTGAATTCTCATGAAAGACATGGGCACCTTAAAACAAAATTCCCATGGAAGGAGGCTTGATTTTGGGTGGTTAACACACAATACAATATACACATGACATGTTATAGAACTGTACCCCTGAAACCTATATAATTTTATTAATCAATGTCACCCCAATAAATTCAATTTAAAAATTCCCAAATAATTGCACACCCAGAAAAAACCCTCTTGAATTCCAGTTCAAGTCATAAATAATTTGTCCAGCTTACACAAGAAGAAATATGACTAGCTTTGGCCAGTGTGGCTCAATTGGTTGGAGCATCATCCTACACACCAAAAGGTGGTGGGTTTGGCTTCCAGTCAGGGCACATACCCAGTTTGTGGGATCAATCTCCAGTCAGTACACATGCGGGAGGCAACCGATGGATGTTTCACTCTCACATGGATGGTTTTTTTCCTCTCTCACTCCCTCTAAAAAAAATCAATGGAAAAGCATGTCCTTGTGGAAGGATTAAAAAAATATCTATGACTACATTTTGACCAACCTGGTCTTTACTTGTAGGATAAATTATTTAGATTATTGTTTGAAATGATGTCATAGTTCTCAGGCCTAGTTGTAACAGAATGTAATTTGTTGTTGTTGGTCACTATAGGAAGAAAGGAAATAATACTCGAGGAAACAAAACCTTAGCATCCATCAAAATGATGCCTACTGATGCTTACTAAAAACTTAATACAAGTTGAATGTATTTGTTTTGATTTAAAATAAGACAACTGGTGGGAAATGCTGAGTGCCATTTAATATTATTATTAAAATTATTGGCTACATGTGCCTCTCACATTTCTGGATCTTTCAAGGTTACTACATCTTCATTTCTGGTTTACTAACACACACAAACACACACACATCAAGTTCCTTTGCAGTACCTCATTCATGACTACAGTATTTTTTTTATAATTACTACCTTTTTAAAAATTGTCAGATTTAGAGAGAAATACAGATTCCTTGCCTCCCATACTCGCCCTGACTGGGAATCCAATCTGCAAGGTTGGTGTACAGGACACACTACAACCGACTGAGCCACACGGCCAAGGCAGTATTTGTTTTTAACTAAAGATTTTCATAAAATTTTTTTTCAGAAATACATCACTTCATCTTGCGTTCTTTTTTGAGTTCCAGTATTTACAAAATATTGAACCCAGAGGGAGGCCTAAATTTATATTCTAAGAACTTGTAGGGAAACTTGGCACTGACTCCAAACCATCTTTTGTTTTGTCTGGGAGGTCTCCTCCTTGATGAGCCCCACACACAGCATGAGAGACTTTTGCATGGTAGCTGGATCTGTGGCCATGCTTCTTTACGTGCCAGTGTGAGTTATGAAGAAATCATTCCTCCTTTTATGAGGTCCTTTATGGTTCATTCTTTCATTAACTCTCAACTCGCGTCCGGAAAAACTTTAAGGTATTTTGTGAGAATAAAAGAATAGCCTAAAGTCACATAACAGACCATCAGCAGACTTTTCTGTTTTGAGCCTACACAGCTACCTACCTATGGTCTTCCAAAAACCACTTAGTCTAAGACTTGTTAATCCTGAAGAATCTCTGCTGCAGCACAGGATTCTTCCCCAAATCCCTGTAGGTTAGGCTTGCGGACTGTGGTTCTGGAGCCCGACAGCTAGACCGCGGCCCCGTCCCCAGGGCCGAGGTGGGCTCAGAAAAGGTGGTGGAGCTTGGAGGGGGACCATGGAAAGAGCCTTGGCGCTGCAGCTGTGCAGCTGGGGCTACAGAAGCTTCCCTCGGGGTTCTGGGAAGGTCCTGGGCTCCCGGGGCCCTCGCCACAAAACACCAGAAGCGCTTTTGGCCGGACAAAGATTCCTCTCACGGCAGAAATAAGGGTTGCTTTGTTTAGCATACTTTTTATAGCTCCAGTGTGGCTGCTCTTGTGGGAAAAGGGACACGAGGAGGCGGCAGAGAGGAAGGAAGAAGGAAAGAGAGAGAATGGAGGAGGGTCAGGCCAGAGCTGGATCAGAATTCTCCATACATCTGCCTCTTGTGTGTTTGAGTCTTCCCTCATGACATGGAGGGGATTCTTCCCAAAGCAGAAAGGATTTGTTCCCAAAAATCTCACCCCTCCTCCATCACGCAAAACCCACGTGTTTGTTACTGTTGTTGAGCGAGGGCGACAGATGGCGCCAGCAGATGGGTTTTCTCTGGGGACGGTGGGTCTTCACGTCGACAAAGGCAGGCGCGGCTGGCTTCCGAGGCGTGGTGTGAAGAAGACAATGGGACAAACTAATGCAAATCAGACACCTTTCAGCACCCTGCAGTTTTAGAAGAGCTTCCCACACAAAATAAAGGCTGACCCCAGGACAACGGGTACATTTCAGTAACATTCCCTCCTTGCCACAGCCCTGGGCGGGAGCCCTGCTGTGGTGAGCATGCCTCAGCGTGACTAAAGGGCGCCCGAATTAATCCATTTGGCATTTGGGTGGCGGAAGGATGAGTTGCCCCCAGGAAATCATTATCCATGGTTTATTGTGAAATGTTGGGAAAGAAAACAACAGGAACCAACTAAAAATATATCAGTCCTAGTAGCTGGTTCCCAAAGGTGTGGCACAAAGCAGCGGAGGGGAGGTGGAACCCACCTTGGTGTCTTCTCAGGCAGAAGAATAGGTAGAAACAGGTCATGAGTAGAGGCAATGCTCCCAAAGGAAGCAAGCTATAAAGGATCAGGTGTCTGTCTTCCACCTCGTTCCTGGAGGGTGGCCCCGAGGTACTGGTTGTATCTGAAATGTTAGTCAGTGCTAAAGACAGTCAGGAAATCTGAAACATACTCAGAACTTGAATGAAGATGACTCCATTTCCCTTCCAGTAAGCCTTTCCCGAGAACCCCAAGCCTCAGTACTCTCACCCACTTCTTGCTTTATTGCTGAGCATATGTTGGCGGCTCTGGGTTCCAATTTATTTTTTTGCAACAATTTTTTTATTCTGCAAGGGTTAATCCCCTATAAAACAATATCCATAAAGCTCTCAGAAAACACTTCATCAAGTCCTTTCATTTACACTTGTCTTATTTACCCCTCATATTTATAACTTAAGAAAAATAATGAAGTCATTATTTTTATCTAGTCCTATGCCTTGAGAAGAGTATCTTTGTTCCAAGACTTGCCCAGGGTCAGTCAGATACTTAGTGGCACTTGGGACTCAAGCCAACATCCTTTTGATACTAAGTTCAAGTTCCTTTAATACAATGCCCTTTCATTGTCTATAACTCTTTGGTATCTCCAAATACCAATTCCTTTAGATATTTCCAGATATCTTTAATAGCTTCAAATATGGTCTGCTAGGCATACAGTTGGTGCTTGTTACTTTTGACCAATGTTAACATGCATTAAGGCCCTGTTTGTCCATGATAGGGTGCAACTTATTTGTGGGTCTTGAAATAATTTCATTGATCACAAATAAAATTTAAAAATGAAGCATTACAGAATAAAAAATATCAGAACGTATCACACATCTTTAATTTTGTACTTGCATTAGCTTTTTATGCAGGAAAACTTTATTTCCAAATGTATTAATATAATATAGTTATATATTAGCCTCTCCATATACTTGGTTTTGGGGTATAGGAGCTACGGAAGCTGGGTATAAAGTGGTTTGGAAATTCAGAGTGGTAACAAATGTTGCATTATTCAAGTGGCAGCTGCAGACACAGCTGTCTGGGGGAGGAGTGTGGATAGGAATAAAAACTAAGGTTCCCACAACAGATAACCTAACATAAATCCACTCAATTAAGAAGATCCAACTTTTATTATTCCTCCAACCATCAAACAATCTACTTTCCTTAATTTTATTTAATTAGATCGATACTTACTTTTTAGAGGAGGTTCTGAATTATTTTGGGTCAGTTCTGAAATAAACAAGGTAAATACTGAATTTGGTTGTGAGAACAATGCATGTGTATACCAGGTATGTCCAAAAATCAGAGCTAGTATCTGAGCTGACTCCTGCATTTGCACACTAACCGAAAATCCGATGATCCAGCAAAAGACAGTTTGGGTAATTTGTAGATAACTTTGAGATCATGGACATAAAGTAAATCCCTGGGTGTATTTTGAGGCTCCAAGAAAGACTGAGCAAATACAATACAACCTTCATCTGTCTGCTTGGAGTTTTTCTTCCCCATTCCTTAAGCCTAAGGACACAATACAGCCTGGATGACATTGTCTGGTACCGAGAATAACAGCACTGTACCCACATTCAGCACGCATTTCAAGTGATTGTGGAAAGCCACAAGGAAAAACTGCTTTTGATAACATGCTGGACACTCATTCTGAAAGAAAGGCTGTGCCCCTCACTTCCTGCTTACTCATACCAGCCCTTCTTTCCTGCTAAGACAATGGTCACTTGTTTTTGCAAATTCTTAGTCAGGAACTGACCCAGGGCAGACTGTTGAGGATGGAGTTACAGGCCATTGTGTGTTGCAGTGACTGTTCCCCAGCTCTGTCAACTTTTCCTCTGGGAAAAGTGCAGTGCATTCTGGAAGAACATTGCTCTCCCAACAGTGTCCAAGCCCTCACTTTATCACATCCCTGTTCTTACACAGACCAATTCTTAACTTGAACATAAAAAGTGAGTGAAAATCAATAAATCAACAAACAACAGTGCTGGTGAAGGTGTGGAGAAAAGGGAACCCTTGTGCACTGTCGGTGAGAATGAAGACTGGTGCAGCTGTTGTGGAAAACAGTACGGAGTTTCTTCAAAAAATTAAACATGGAACTGCCTTATGACCCAGCGATTCCACTTCTGGGAATATATCAGAAAAAACCTGAAGCACGAATTCAAAAGAATGTATGCACCCCTATGTTCATTGCAGCGTTATTTACCTATATAATTTTATTAACCAATGTCACTCCAATAAATTCAATAATTTTTTTATTTTTTATTTTATTTATTTTATTTTTTAAAATATATCTTTATTGATTTCAGAGAGAGGACAGGAGAGGGAGAGAGAGAGATAGAAACATCAATGATGAGAGAGTCATCATTGATGACTCAGGCATGTGCCCCGACCGGGAATCGAACCCCGATCGCCTGGATCCCAGGTCGATGCTCAACCGCTGAGCCACGCCTGGAAGGACTCAATAATTTTTTTAAAAAGCAAACAGGAGTCAGATACAAAAATGGGAACGTTCTCAATATCCCCTAAGAAAGATATTTCAAGGGGATAAAATGAGATTTTTTTTCCCCATAATACCTCCAAAATGTATTTACAAAAACCATGATTCTTAAATATAACTTCAGAGTCTATTTTTCTCCTCACTTTGCACTTAGTTCACTGAATACTTCCAGGTAGAGAAGAAAAGGAGCTTTCCTTTCCCTGTTGTTTGTTTTTATAACTTCATGAAAGGAAAATTCCACCCAGTTAAAAGCCAATTCTTAAATAATTTGACTTTTTGAGGAAGCAGAGATGACCCAGAGAACTATGACACAGTTCCTGCTTCCCAGGACAGTATAATCCTTGATGGAATGAAAGATATATCCAGACATTACTTTAGTACAAGGGAATGTGTGGTAATTGAGAGGGTCAGACCTTTGATAGCATAAACATGGCTAGGAAAGAGAAATCACTTCCCAAAGGGTGAACATGAAAGTCGTCATTAAGAGCTCAGGAAATGAGCTGGGCAAGACAGGAGAGGTAGAATTTGATGGATGGAGGCAGATGAATGGATGTCCCAACAGCATGGGAAAGACCATGGTGAACAGAAGGCAATAGCAAGCAGGGCTGTTAGGCTGGCGTTGGGGGTTTCTTTATGGAATCCAGAAACAACCTGGAAAGATATGTGGGGATGGGCTGTGTTAAGCCTTGAACGCTGGTTAACAAACTTGAGCCCAATATTATAAGTGGGGGTCCTCTGCAGGGGACTCAATAAAAGACTGGCATTATGAAAGAAGTTTTTTTAGAAAATTAAGCATATCAAGATTTTTGGCTGAAATGGACAAAAGTGGGGAAACACTAAAGATACGGAGGCCATACAATTAATTGAAATCATTTAGAAGGAAGATAATGAAGGTCTGAGATGACCCTAGAAGCTATAGAAGGCAACACATCGCAGAGTGGAAGGTTGTTGACAGACAAAAGTAGAAGGTCAAAGAAAAGTCCTGGGGAGTTCCCAATGGGGGTCAGGAGCATTAATTAACAGTTATAAGAAAGGAAGTAATAAGAAAGGAAGAATAGGAAATTAGGAGAATAGAAATCTTCAAAGAGACATTTAAAAGGCCCTAAAGTTTTCTACTTAGTTCTTAGACTTTCCTTCAGGCCACTTCATCCTTCATAGTCTTTGTACCAGTCTGACCCTAATGAGCACATTTCCTCAGGGCATGGGGTTTAAGAGGGACTGCTGTCTCCCTTTTCCTCTGAAGTCAGGCCCCCTCCTCCACAAGAGAGACTGACTATCAATCCTAATTTTTGCCTCGACTTGATTCCCTAGAACAGACACTTTTACCAACTGTACAACCATCTGGAATGGTCAAGGAATGACCCAAATATGGGACAGACATTTAGCTAAATTCCTCTCTCTTGTACAGAAGTGTATCGGTCCCCACAATGAAAGACTCTCTTCCAAGGGAAGTGGACTCCATGTCACTACATTTAATTTTGTTATACATTACATTACATTATATAAATTATCTAGTGCCGGAGCCCACCAGCAGAGTTGAACGGTCCCCAGAGTAGGGGTGAGGATGGAGAAAAGACAGACACAAAAAAGATGGGATCGGGAGGACGGCAGCTCGTGACGGCTGCAGCCCGGAGTTTATTTTCCAAGCTCAGTTTACACCGGCGCTCTTGTTTTTGCTGCCTTGCACCCTGCCAGGCAATCCTTCCCCTTGCCCGATACAAAGTAGTTCTCTCCAGGCTGCACAAACACACCTTCAGCGTAAACATCCTGCCTCCTGCAGGAGCTCAGACCTTGGCAACTATCTTTGTCTCAGCTTCTAATGGGAACTTGTTGGGAAGGATTGAGTCCTTGGCTCGGTATGTAGCTTGACTATCCCTTAACCCTTCAGGCCGGGGCCAGCTTCCTAATAAGCCTTTCTAGAATTTAAGGCCGCAAACTAAATTAGTATCCCCTTGGTGCCTCAAGGTCTGGGTCAGGGAGCAGGGGAGCACATCTGCAGCTCACCCAGGCAGCTCCTCTGTGCCTGGGGCCACAGCGGCTCACCCACATCAGCTCACCCACATCTCCCAGGGAGCATGGGAGCACATCTGCAGCTCACCCAGGCAGCTCCTCTGTGCCTGGGGCCACAACGGCTCCCCACAATCTAGCAGTACTTAATTATTTTATATTTAATAGTATAATTAATATCAACGGGAAGTAACATTTTTGCAAGTTTTGCTTATTTTTAACATTTTGCCAGTTAAAAAACGTATTACTTCTTTAACAATTTAGTATTTATCTTATTATATGAATTAATAGTACAATATTCTCCGGAAAGCATTCATTCCATACATCCTCAATATAGGCTTCTCCACATTGTTAAAGGCAACTTTTTCACTTAGAATAGATTGTTATTTAATTCATTTACAAAGAAATCTTTATTGAGACACCCACTGTGTGCCAGATATCTATGCCATCTATTTGTAGAGAGGCAAAGATATTTGAGGCACAGCCTCCATTCTAAAGAGGTTTATAAACCAGGGCGTGGATGGTCACAGGCAACTAGCATTGAAGTTGACCCCAAATTTGCAAAAGCAGTCTCTAACTCTGCCATAAATGTATTCTACAATTCTGTGCTTCATAGTAGAGGGTTACACCTAGCATTAGAATACTGTGCATTCCTTCATTGGCTTACTTTAAAAAAATTTTAAAGTGATTTTAAAAATTTCAATGGAATTTAAGTGGATTCTTTCATTGGGTTACTTTAAGGGAATTTAAAGACTGACTCCAAAGTGTATGTATAAAGTAATAAATTAATTAAAACACACACACAAAATGTAAGCAGTTAAGTGAATGGCATCCATACAAGTAACTGTATGAGACTACATGTAGATTTCAGACATGCTACCACTGTGCCATACCTTTCCAGATTTCTCTTTTACAATAATCTTCAAGGTCAGTTTACGGCCACAAAAGAAACTCCATCTCATTTCTTATAAATAAAGAGTGATCTTCTTTGATCCAAATATATTTTATGTGGTCATGTAAAAATCACTATGTTAATCATTTAAAGTGTACAATTCAGTAGCATTTAAAATATTCACATGTTGTGCAATCATCACACTACAAATTTTAGAACATTTTCATCACCCCAAAAGGAAACCCCATACCTATTGTCACTCCTCACTTTCCTTTTCTCCCAGTCTCTGGCACAACCATTAATCACCTTCTACTTTATGGATTTACCTATTCTGATAGTTCATATAAACAGAATCATACAATATGTGATCTTTTGTATCTGGCTTCTTTTACTCGGCATCATGTTTTTGAGGCTCATCTGTGTTGTGGAATGTATTAGTACATTATTCTTTTTATGGCTGAATAATATTCCATTATATGATTTACCACATTTCCTTTATCTGTTTATTAGCTGATAGACACTTGGGTTATTTCCATTTTTTGGTTGTTGTAAATAGTGCTGCTATAAACATTCATGTGCAAGTTTTTGTGTGGATATATATTTATTTCACTTGGGTATTTACCTAACAATGGAATTGTTGGGTCTATGGCAACTATGTTTAACCTTTTTGAAGAACTGCCAGACTATTTTCCAAAGCAGCTGCACCATTTTACTTTACTACTGGCAATGTATAAGGGTTTCGATTTGTCCACATCTTTGCCAGCTCTTGTTATTTTTCTTTAAAAAAAAAAAATCTAGTCATCCTAGTGGCTGTAAAATGGTATCATCATA